AMMAAAAAAAARRRRAAAAWWAARKWWTYCCYWAAAAAAAAAAAAAAAAAGTTGCTGAGGCTATATGCAAGCTACTATGGCTTTCAAAGACTATTGAGAGCTATTGAGAGATAATTTAGCTCAAAAATATTTAATAACTACAGTCTACCTACATTTAAGAAATTAATTATTGAGATCAAATTTTGGAACCCAGGGTCACTGTAAAAGTGTGTCTCAAAAAGTCAAATTCAAAATGCATAAATGAATATGCCTCAAGTAGCTGACAGGAGAGAGAATAAGAGAGACCTCTCAGTTTATTTTTCCAAAACAGCCCTGAAGCCTGGTGCTTACGTAGCGTCAGGTCCTCTTTCAGCCAAGTTCAGTGGACATTCTGAAGTTCTCATTAAAAATGGAGTGAGATTCAACATGGAAATYGCATTTAGGTATCATGAAAAATAAAGTTATTGATTCTTTGGTCTAGGTACCTTGCTATGACAAAACCAGAAAGTACCCAGTATCAAAATACTAGTAAGGAAAAGGAAAGCAAAATTCTGGATACTGTGTCATGTCATTCCTCTCATTTGAAATTTTAACTTCCTTTCCATAGTGTGCGGCCAAATATGAAATACAACCTTCCCTGGGCAAATTCTGCTGGTTTGTAGCCATGCCAGAAAATAACTACTTATTCACATGGACAAAATACAGTATAGATRATTTCCCACTCAGAGCTGCAGATCACCACTGCTTGCTTAAACAGCCAAGTATGCTGCTTAAAAAGCAAATTAACACAATATGTGCTAATTAAAAGTGTGTATAACATTATAGAAACAAAACACCTGAGAATTACTTTTCACTCCAACTCACAGAAAACTAAGTTCAATATAAGCTTAAAGTCARTCATTTAGATGACTGCAGTGTCATCTAAACTTTAATTATGGAGGAAGGACAGTTTCTTTTTTATGCAAGCCTGCACATACAGACAACGTGAAGATGTAAACCAAAATTTTCAAGAGCGACTTCATCATGACTGGCTGAAGACATTAGTAGAGCTATATTTTAGGTAACAAAATTTTTGAGTGCTCTGAAAAAGAGTCTCTAAACTGAATCATTTGGCCTGAGTAACATTAAGCTGTTAATCGCTTTTCAAATAYAATTTGTTACACATCTTCACATGCTTATTTAAAGCTAAATAAGTATGGGAAGAATTAACACAAATAACAGCAAAATAGAAATTGACCAGTTAACAGCTGGACTTAAAGCCATGTATTTGATACAGTATAACAGTCATGTCCTAAAAGCCCCACAAAAAAACCCGTATCCTCATGGGAACGTGTACAAAGCTATAAGCGTATCAAACAACCTTCGTGTTTCTCTCTGCRAGACTAATGGGACAACTAAATTTGTACTTTTTACAAAACGCAAAGAGGCTTTAAACATATTTCTAACATAGTTCTGCTTAATTAAACCAGAACCCAAGAATTTAACTGTTCATCTTCAAGAATATTTGTCACCTCAATTATTTTTTGTGAATTCAGTATTTGTGAATTCCCGTTTAGCTGAACTGTACTTAGTCTGTGACACCAAGAGAGGCAAATGAAGGCTCTAATCCTGCAACCAGATCTGTGAGAACTGCTGACGTGGCCTACACGATGCTTCACTTAAATACAGAAATACCTGCAGAGCAACTATCAAGCCCTGCTTTTTATTTATTTTGAAACAAGCTTGGTACTATTTGCACTTTTACATAGTAGTTATTACCTGTGCCCTTCAAGTCACACAGGTTAGCTCAGTTGAAAATGTGCAGATTACTTATGCTATGATGTTTCATTAGGTGGTTACATTTACAAACACAGCCATAACAAGGAGTTAACTTGCAACTAAACGTAAGGTTTTTTTTTTTAATGTTTTCCACAGTTTTAAGCAGAGTATAACAATATTTAAATAGAACACTCAACATTTCCTCTTCTATGCTGCTATGCTTCCCTACTTGTATGTTCACTGGCAGATCTTCATCAGACTATGTATCTTTATGCTGCTGCAATGGTAGTAGCACAGCTATAGTTCACGTTCTGTCAGCATTTCCTTTATAAGTTACATTCTTCAAGTTTGTTCCTTAGCCATAAAAAGTCATGGCAGCTTGAAACTTTGTGTAGAAACTCCTATACTAGGGAACAAATTTTTAAAAGTGTACTTCAATATACTTCAGTTCATAGCTTTAACTGAATTTCCTTCAGTTATTTTTGCAGGATGGCAAAGTAGGAGTTAAAACTAGTGCTTTTAAAAAKCAGCCTTTTTTGACCTAAAGGCACAGACCATCAATAAATAGTTGGAAAAATAAAATCTGTTCAATAAATATTTTAGTCTTAATCTTGTATTATTTATCAGCTACAAGATTCACAGTGGAATAGTCCAAATGTAGACACAGAAATAGACAGTGAATGCAAATATTACTCATTAGAGCACCAAACCTAGCAGCTCATTCCCAAGGTTTACCATTTCAGCTGCTTTAAAAATTTCAAAAGATTGCTGTACGTGACACAAGGGTATTGTTTGCTACGATATATCTGCACATTCAAAATCTGCACATTCAAAAAAAAACATTCTCCAAATCCAGAAATAGTGTTATTTTATTTTACCTAAAATGAGAAGTATACACAAGGTTTCAGAATCATGTAAATTTTATAGTCAAGTCACAAACCTGAAAAAAGCTTCTTAAATGGAAACACTGACACAACCTTCACTATAGTATTGCAAACAGCAACGCTATTTTATAAATCTCAAATGATTTTTTAAAATAGGTGTGGAATTGCTTATTGTAAAAGAAGGGTTCAGCTATAAACATAGGACCTATCTTACAAACAAAGCCCACTTGGTTGATTTGCTCGGGCCATGAATTGGTTACAAGTAGTCAAATTTCGGAACTATCTTTCCCCTGGTATTTGTATCATTTTTTTTCAACCTAGATTAAAAAATATTAGAATTTCATCTCGAGAAGTTTGTTACAGAGGTTTCCTGATAATAAGGGAACTCCACTAGTAAAGCTCATTTCTACAGTGGTTGTATTTACAATTTTACACCTTTTCCCTCTGTGCAGGGGATGATTTTCCACTCACATAAACAAATCTGAATAATCTCTCCTCATCTGAAAATTCCAGCAGAGTAGAAATTCTAATGACAGATACGGGAAAGAGTAGCAGTCCATTCCAACTAAAACGTTGGCATCAAAGGACCACCGAGTGTCAGTTTTACTTTTCATCTCCTCTATCGCAACAGATTTGCCAGGAGAATTTGCCCTTGTTTAATGGTCCTGCCAATTTCAAGCCCTGACTGTACACGTATTTGCTAACTGGAATCAGTGGCTACGAAGCGGCCAGCGTATCGTTAGTCACAATACAACAGTAAGGTTGTGAACATACCTGAGCAATGTTCAAGGTCTAGAGCATTGGAGGATGGGCAGGACAAGACAGGACAGAACAAAAATAAAGGAAGAAAAAAAGAAAAGACAAAACAGTGACTATGAGGCCAGCCTCAAGGAACCCCAAGTCAGACCAAGCCCTCCCCTTCTAAGTTAAAAAGAAAGAAAGAAAAAAAAGAAACAAAACCCAACACAAAATCCAGCTTTCCACTATTCGAGTATTACAACATGCCAATAGAGCAACACMTAACAATGTTTTGGAAGCTAACAATATGAACAACGACTATTYTCTTATTTTTTGAGATAGCAGTCACCTACTGTCTGTCAAAGGTATACTTGAGGCTGGCCTTATAGGAAAAAAAAGCAATGCAAAAAAAAAAATCATATTTTAAATCTCTACTTTTCAATTTAACATTGGTAAAGCAATATACAAATGAGAGAACAACAGTGTCCAATTAACCTAATATGATTTCATTAAAAAAAAAAAAATAATAAAAAAAATCACCATCTGGACCTAAACTGTTTTGCTTAGTTAGCTATAGCAAAGAAAAGAGAAAAAGAATAGTGCAGATTCTATGCAGAATTAAATCACATGTTACAGCACAGTACAGTACCTGCTTATTCAGACCTAGCATATTGCAGACCATATCCCTTGAATACGGTTGTTCCAGCACATATCTCAACAAAGCAGTCTGTGGCTCAAACAGATCCTTCAAAAAAATAAATAAAAAAAGGCACACATACAAACATATATTGCCTCAACATTACGCTTAAAGCTACCGTTTAACCGAGTTAATGCAAGAACGAGAGCTTTTATCTCTGCAGATATGAATTGCCTGGTGGCAAATCCTTTTGCTCTCCAACACCCGAAAGAAAGGAATAAATAATCACAGTGCAAAGGACGGGCAGATTTTATGAAGATCAAGTAGAGGGGAAGACTATCAAGAACTCAGTGGGAACCACGTAAGACAACTGAGGATGCACGTGACACAGGTCCAGTAGAAACATGAGTAGCATGGGAAAAAACAAGGATGGAAGAACTAACTGCTCACTAGATCTTCCAATATCTGAATCCATTAAAAAGGGCCAGAATTTGAATCAAAACAAACAGAAGGTGCAGACTGCTCGTGAAACACGTACTGAGTTATGGAACTCCTTATCAAAGGGACGCTGAAGATGCTAGAATTTTATGTGGACTTGAGAGGAGAAGGAACATATGTTTGAAGAGGAACTCACTGACTAAACACACAGAAACAACATCTGTCTCAAGAAACCCCATCCTGGAAATGCTTGCAGACTGAGAACACTACACATGCCTTTATATATATCTATCCATACACGCGCACACACACACACACGCGCACACAGTCTTTATATTCTTCCTTAGAAACCAAGAGTACTGGGTATCAGATCCCAGACAAAGTGAGTTTTATTTCTGATCCTTTATGATTCTTAAATTCTTTCACTAAATCACTATTTCACACTCTTAAGGCTAAAATTCAAATAGACTATATTTAAATGTCAATTGCAAAGTTTTCCTWTAAAATAACAAAAAACACAGAAATTACCTTCCCAGTCTCCTCCTCCTCGCCTAATCTAACTTCCAATCCACTCTCTGCACTCACTTGCTCCCCTGCAAGCACACACGAAGAATCTCTTGCTCTTCAGCACCCCCGGCAGCAGTCACACCAYGCACTACTTTAAAGTCATCCGTACACAGACTGAAAGCACTGAAATTTTTAACATAGTGAAAACACCTAAATACTCAGTGATAGTCTAATTAGAACGACAGGATATTCAGAACTGAAATGAGTTTATTTTCCCCTAATGATAGCTTTGTATTCACTGAATACAACTTAAGAAGCTTAATAAAACATACCTTATCATATGGTAAAAGACCTTTCAAAGGGAAGCGCAGGGTTGTAGGATCCAGCTTCCATGAGTTACACATGGCACCCGAGTTATTTACCACAGGGAGAAGACTACAGCGACCTACGTGCAATGAAACAGTGTAAATTCTAACAGAGTGAAACAGGCCTGTTGTTTAAACATGCTGATTAAAAAGAGGCCTGAGACGCTTATGTTTTCATTACATTTCCACTAATTTAAAAAGGAACTTCAAGCTTTATTTGTCTCAATGGAAAGCTCACTTTTTATCTAATAAATYATAAAATAAGAAGTTAAATCTGATAATCTTCTCAGTCTGAATAGAGTGGTTTGGAGCCCCTAGTGTCCTAACAGGTAAACATAAAAATGTTTTTTTTCAGTTTGACTTCCACAGCTTTTACTCTTCAAATCRGCAGTATTACCAGGACATAGTCCAAAGCAAAACTTATTTATATTTTTATATTTGCCCTGTGGTCACCTCTGAACTGGCCACTTCTACCTACAAGATATATAAAAATTAATCTGCAATGCCCGAGTCATACGCACAAAAGCTATAGCATAGTAAATAAAAGAACAGCTACATGCTTTTGAAACATGAAATATTTGGGAGTATTATAAACGGATTTATCCTCTTAATCTCTGCATTAAAGAAGTTCAGCTGCAATCAACCTTGATCACAGCTAAGAAATAATAATGCTCTTATTAAATTACTCCATTCTCAAATTATACAGAAAACATTTTTATCCTTTTAAATAAGACAGCAGCCAACATCACAGTTTAAACATCCAAACTTTACTCCTCAAATTGCTAATAAGAAATGAAGGGGGGCTTTTCTTCCACAGAAATAGGGAGCCAGTACTCATCTGAGCTATGGGGTGCTCACCCAGACATCTGCAATGACAAGGATAAAGCTACATAGAAGCAAAAACTCCAGTGGAAGTGTGAAGTCTAAAAGATTCCATGACTGATACAGCCCTGGATCTGTCTTAGCTTGAAATCCTCAAAAATAAAAAAGCTGTACTTAGGCCTACTTAGTTCAGTATTTAGTTCAGTAAGAAACAAAGCAGAGGCCAGATTAGAAACTAAATAGCCTGGTAGCAAGAAGTTCACTGTCAGTTAATAGTCAAAAATGATCCTGAATTAAAAACTAAGTCTGAAAATAAACTGCCGAGAAAAAAAGATAATGAAAAGATAAACAAAAACATAAATGAACCATAAGATCTAAATAATTTTGCTTAGATGAACATTTCATCTCTTACCACAAATGGAATTTATTCTTGCTGTTGGTCTGAAGGTATCCACAAAATCCGACACTAAATTACCTAGTAACTGTGTGAGGGAAAAAAAAAGTTACATATATAGAACCAGGATGCCTAAAAATAAATCATGCTTTTTAACAAAATATAAAGMCAAAATAATTTGCTTCCTAGACATTTCAGAGTCTAAAATCCCGAAAGGAAAAACGTAACCCCATAAAGATGAGGGGAAAAAAGCACTCTTCTGACCTTGCACTCAAATGAGAATTAATGTAACTGTTTCTCATAAATGTATCSTATTAGTTCAGTGCACACTACTCAGTGATGGCAATTCCAGCTGGATATCATTTTTACAAAGTCGATTCCACAACTTCACCTTAGACTGGCTCAGGAGAGGTCAGGGACAATTCTCCAAATTAATTCCAGAGGGTCAGGATTTTATTCTTTGGAAATACCTGGCTATTTTAACAGAATACAAAGCCAAAAATAATCCATGTTTTGTTTTTAAGGAGCCATCAACCCATCAACTGGTTTTGTTGCACCAAACTTACCAAATAAACAAATAACAGAACTTAAAAAGAAAACACTGATCTGGAAGTTTAAGTGGTTTCTTGTCTTCAAGCACAAAACAAGCACAAGGTAGGCAAGCATGAAGTGCATTCCCAAATTTATTGAACAAGAACAACTCAATGCTTCATGAGTTTTCAAAATCAGGCTAGCTGTACAACCTATGCTCTGAACTACAAGCAAAAACACAGGCAGCTGCTGCTGCAATTATAACAAACCTATATCCTTAATCTAAGGGCCTAAGCACAGAACATTTTCTTAAATATTATTTTTAAACCACCATTTAGTGATGGAGCAGCTCATCCTGGCTGCTCTCTCCAKACACATGGAGGAGAAGRWGGTGCTCAGGAGTAGCCAGCATGGATTCACCAAGGGGAAATCCTGCTTGACTAACCTGATCACCTTCTACAAAGGAATATCTAGCTGGATAGATGAGGGCAGAGCGGT